GCAGTACTACTGTACAGTGTATCAGCCTGCATAATTCTTGGCTGTGTAGCTATTATAGCAGCACACGTGTTTCTGGTTGATGGTCCTCAAGGAAGTCAACTACGGTCAAGTTCAATTACAAGCTACTTTTCTAAAAGAAATTGGCTGTAGATGACTTTGCATAGTTACATCCTAGGACTGAGAATGGCCTTTTTCTTCATGTTGGGAGATGATTAAGCCAATTAGCTACACTGATATAATAATAGTAATGTTTATGGTTTAACCATATTATTGATAATATCAATAATGCCATTTACGTGAAAATCACGTCACATGGCTGCGCAAAAAGGGGTGTGGCCAAAAATCGGCGCGCTTCGTGCGCCATTGGAACCTCCCCTTTCCATTTTCTAGATCCGCCACTGACAGGGATTTCAAATACTCCTCTGACATGATTCATTAATCGAGACAATAGTAATGCTCCACACAACTCTAACAGTGGTATTGTCAGCTTCTTTATTGGGGATACTCTAGTTTTAGAGGTGACAAGTGAGATATGAACATTTCCTTGGAAGTCAGTCATCCTTAGATATACAACTGCAGCATAAGCCTCTTCTGATGTATCAGAAAATCCATGCAGTTCCTTGGAGACGATTGTCACTCCATTAGGGTAGCCTGTAACATCGCCGAGGAATCATCTTCTCCGGTAAGTTGAGGGTGTCAGTTCAGATCGCCATCTTTCCCATACACTCTGAATATTGATTGGCATAGGATCATCCCAGTCAACTTTCTGCTCCCACAGCCTTTGATACAGTATCTTCACCTTGATAACTGCAGGAGAGAACCAATACAAATACAAAGCTCAACTAGTCCAAATACTTGAGGACAGAAACTAGCAATAATTTCAATTTGTAGGTGTGGCCTCAGTTGACCACGCCCTGTTGAGTGGTTTTGGGTGGGGCTGGTACTTTCATTTGCAAGAATGGCATCTAAAAGTGAGGGCCACTATTCTATTCTCTTTGTATCTCTTTCATTCATTCTTTGTCTCTCTTACTCTCTCACTTACTTTACTCCCTTTCTGGGGCTCCATTGCAGTTTAGGTCCTACCTCAATTAATTATTAAAAGTCAATTAATGATGTCATCATCATGAATAATAATGAGTTACTAGGTTTTTAGGTTTAGGATTCTTTTTTTAGGTTGAGAGTTTAGGGTTTAGGGTTTAGTTTTTTTGTTTAGGTTTTGGGTTTTTTAGGGTTTTGGGTTTAGTTTTTTTTAACTTTAGATTTAGGGGTTAAAATTATTTAAATTAATTATTAATTAGGTAGGACCTAAACTGCAATGTAACCCAATATTACTGTTACTCTGTTACTGGTACCTCTTGTTCTCTATAGACTATCAACCAGTGGAGAGATATGCCCACTCCACAGTAAAGGTAGGAGACTACTTATATATGTGGGGTGGGGACGGGTCTGGAGTACACTATGATGTGATGGAGGTGTATCACTTACCAACTGGTGCTTGGGACCAGAAAGCTACTACTGGTACCCCACCACCAGGTACCTGGGCCTATTCAACTTTTGCAATTGGGAAGGACATATATTATTTTGGTGGATATAGCGATAGTTATGGTGGTCGTGGTTATCAAAACAGCTTACATTGCTTCAATGTGGATTCATTCAAGTGGAGGGAACTCTCTCCTTCTAGTTCTGATCGCAATCCAATGAAGAAGGGCTACTGTGGAATAATATCAGTTCATTTTGATAGTGAACACTATCTGGTAATAATCGGAGGTCTGGGATCATCTTCTACACCTAAGCAACCTAACGCTCAGTATTCAGGTGGTAGATGTACATGTAATGAGATACATTATTACAGGATTTCATCAGGTCAGTAATTCTCATCATTGATGCACAATAGTTGATGAGTATTTCAAACTGAATAATTTATATTAATGTACATAAAACAGATTGTTAATAATTAAGTGTGTTTGTTAGTGTGTCTCTGTGTGTCATGTGTTTGTGTGTGATGGTGACGTGTGTCTATAATATGTGATGTGTGTGTGTACTAATACATACATTATGATGTGTCTGTGTATGATAGTGCATATAATGTATGTGTGAATTTATGAATGTACATGTGTATGACGTGTGTATGTGATGTGTATCTATAATGTGCATGTTATGTGTGTGTGAGTATTATCATGTATCTGTGTGTGTGTGATGTTTGTATATGTACATGTATCTATACATAAGCTAATGTGACATGAGTGTGTGTGTAGGTCATGTTATTTATTATCATTTTTAATAAAGTTCTGCATCACATGAGTCACAAATTACCCACATACAATGTTCCATGAGTTTTGTATAATTATTCATTAACAATCATAACTGACATGTATCAGAATAGATTAGTAATCTTGAAATTAGGAGACCCCCTGGACCTCTCCTTCATGTGTACAGGTGTGGTGTGTGTGATGGTGTGTGTATCCATACATGAGTGTATCTGTGTGTGTGTGTTTGTGTTTCGACCTAACCCCCGGGCTATGTCTCAGGACCCAGCTATCATAACCGTAGCCTAGCGCTGCGCTTTCACCTCGATTGAAAGTACTGGCATCTTCAAAGCTCAACACATCCATTGACTTAAGAGTCAAAATTAACAGAATATGGGGTTTCCCTTCTATTTGAAATTATGCTTACTGGGCAATGGACAGACAGTCTGGCCTTGAGAAC